GGAGCGTTGCGGCGGGCGACCAAGAGGGACAATAGTTGGCTCAGCTTCTTCTACTTCTTTTGCTTCCCCCCTTTGGCCCTTGCTGGGAGCTCCCCAGCCTTCTCCACAAGCGCCCCAGCCGCTTGTCGCGCCGCCAGTCGCGGCGCCCCATGCGCCTGTTGCTGCTCCCCAATCGCTTGTGTCGCTTGTGCCCCATCTGCTTGTGCTCCCCCACCCCCCTTCATTGGAAGCGCTTTCCTCTTCTTCCGCGCCCCATGCCGCACACGCGGATGTACTGCGTGCTTCGGCGATGCTCTTTCGACGGAGCTCCTCTGCTTCCCGTCGCGCCAAGTCTTCTTCGTCTACGACGGTGAGTTTCGCCGTAGGGTCGCGCCAGTGGGGGTAGATTTTCATGAAATTTTCCTTGGGGTAGGGTCACGGGAATCCGTTTGCGTCAAAGGTGCCAACGCCGACGCCGCGAAGCATGCCCCGCAGATGTTGCGACGCGGGTCTGTGGAGAGGATGGTCCGGCGTGGCGAAGGCGACCTTCGTGGCGGTCTCCAACTCCAGTTGGGATAATCCTTCCTCAGGCGGTGCTTCCTGCTCTGCGTCTGCGATGGCGGCAAGTCCTCTGCCATACGCCCATCTCCTCAACGAGCGCGTTTGCCGGCACTCTCTGCAGATGCCGTCGGGATCGGGATCATGTAGCGCCAGCTCACGCGGATGTGGATGATGCGGCACCCACGGTCTTCTATCTAGATGCTTCCAGTCGTGGTGATGAATATGCTCGAAGGGCAGGGGAACGAGATCGATGAGTTCCTGCGAGTCGCCGCTGCAGTCAGGAATGTCAAAGTTGAGGACATTGACTCCGTTCTCGGAGTGCGCTCGCCCGATCTGCCTGCGTATTTTGTTCGGCATCGTGAAGTGAAGCACAGTGTCTGTCAAACTTATATGCTATAGTCTGTGTAGGCTGTAGTGGGGTAGACTATATGGGCTACAACATTTCTAGGTTTTCCTACTTGTACCCACCTGCTTGCTAGTTCATTCATTCCTCATTCTTCACATGGTATAGAGCAGGTTCCCTAGTGGGAACGCTTCCTTGGGCCCACCACTAAATTTCCTTTCTGACCAAAGCGCCAGTCGCTCCTGCCCGAGGCGCGCCTTTTTGCCGCCCTCTCTAGGCCCCTAGTGGCCCCTAGCGGCCTCGTCGCCGCCCCTCACGCGGCCCCGTTACCGCCCCTACGCGGCCCCGACGCCGCCATTAGCGGCCCCGTCGCCGCCCCTAGCGGCCCCGTCGCCGCCTTTCACCCTACGCGGCCCCGTCGCCGCCCCTACGCGGCCCCGTCGCCGCCCCCTCCGCGGCCCCGTCGCTGCCCTTAGCGGCCCCGTCGCCGCCCCTAACGGCCCCGTCGCCGCCTCTCACCCTACGCGACCCCGTCGCCGCCCATACGCGGCCCCGTCGCCACCCTTAGCGGCCCCGTCGCCGCCCCTACCGGCCCCGTCGCCGCCTCTCACCCTCAGCGGCCCCGTCGCCGCCCCTAAGAGGCCCCGTCGCCGCCCCTAACGGCCTCGTCGCCGCCCCTAGCGGCCCCGTCGCCGCCTCTCACCTTACGCAGCCCCGTCGCCGCCCCTAAGCGGCCCCGCTACCGCTCGTAAGCGGCCCCGTCGCCGCCCCTAAGTGGCCCCGACGCCGCTTCCTAAGCGGCCCCGTGGCCGCCACCACACGGCCCCGTCGCCGCTCCCCTCCCTAAGCGGCCCCGTCGCTGCACCTAGCGGCCCCGACGCCGCCTCTACCGAGCGGCACAGCAGCAGAGCCGCCGAGCCGCCCAGCAGCCGAGCCGCCTAGCCGCCGAGCCGCCCGACCGCCGAGCCGCCCAGCCGCCGAGCCGCCCGACCCCGAGCCGCCCAGCAGCCGAGCCGCCCAGCAGCCGTACCGCCGAGCCGCCCGACCGCCGAGCCGCCCAGCCGCCGAGCCGCCCAACGACCTGACTGCTCGAGGGTCGAAGCTGCCGCTGCGTTGTTGTTGATTGTTGTCGGTTGGGGCAGTGCGTGCGTGGGTGTCCTCACGTCTTACAGATGTGGCAGAACGGAGGTACAGACTTTGGTTGGTGTCGGTTGTTGTTGTTGTTATAGTGTCGCTGAGTGTGGAAAGCGAATTCCGGTGCTGACGTCTTCCTCTTGTATCTTTCTTCTTGCAGGTCCATGTCTTGTTGCTCGGCATGAACTTCAGAGCAAAGTGCTGCTTCGGAGATTCTTCCGTGAGCTCGGAGAATGGCTTTTGTGGCGCGCCATTGAGGACCGAGGCCGCCAATGATGACTGTCACGAAGGCGTCTTCAGATATCGACCCTCCGCATCGAAGGAGTTTGTCGCGCAATTCGCGACAGCGACTGATATACGCCATCCCCTTTTCCCCTGGTTTCATTTCGACTGTTGTCAGTTGCGCCATTAGTCGACTCTGACTTACGCTGTCTGTTGCTTGGTACAGGCTTTTCAAGTGGCTGTATGCGAGCTCGGCGGAGTTGCCGTATCCCCGGTAAGACCGTATATTCTGTTGTTGAGTCGGGGTGATATTCCTCAGTAGGATTGTGTACGCCATCATTGACTGATAGGTGTACTGCTGCTTCTCGTACTGTGTGCCGTTTGTTGGGTATGGCAGGGATCCGTCGAAGAAGCCGAGGATTTGCGCGCCTTCCATCATCAGCTCGAACTCGAATGACCAGGTAAAAAAGTCCTTTCCGTCGAAAGGTCTTGATGTCTGCAGCTTCAGAACGTGCGTGAACTGCGACTGAACTTGTAGCGCGTCCAGTGTCTTCTCTTGTCCAGGTGCAGGCTGCGGTTGTGGCATAAAGCTGACGGAACCGCGCTGGGGCTCGTACGGAGCAAAGGTAGGTTGCTGCTGTTGATTTCCACGTGCGTAGGATGAACCATCAAGGCTCATTGGAGACACGTCATTGTTGTTGTTGCTGTTGTGTGACTGCGCATGTGCCAATTGCTGGTGTTGCTCGCAGAAGGACATGAAGGAGAAAAACTTATGCTCTGGTCGAAACCTGCAGGTTGATTTGCGGGAGTCTCGGTGGATGTTGCCCTTGGTCTTCTTGCCGTACCCTCCTCTGTCTGTAGGCCAGAGGCAGGAGGTGGAGTAGGATTAGTACCGGGAGAACCAATAGAGGAACTCCTTTCTTTCTGAGTAGCCATGTCTTCTGATGTTGTAGGTGTTTTGATAGTTGAATTCCCCCTGATAGCTCTCATACCATGTTGGGCTGAGAAAAATAGCCCTTGGGATCTTTGCAGGGGTGAACTGTGGGTATAACTGATGTAATAGCGGAAGCATTTAATGAAGGGTTGTGAACCACCTTGCGCTAGTATGTGAGGGCAAATTTGATTGATTAAAGCAAAGAGATACAAGATTATATAGGGTACAGGGAATATGAAGAGATACAGTTATAACTACTTTACTGTTGCTGTTGCGGTTCGATACAGTGACGACTCGGGCAACTGCTCTGTAATGAGTCAGTTGTGTGTCCTTGCTACCGCGCTGTACTTGTCAGGTCAAAGGTCGCTGACCTTTGACTTTCGCGTAACCTCCAGCAACTGCACAACCTCCGAGGGTTGACTCGCCAGTGCTTCGATATGCTTTGCTTCGCTTCTGACTTGGGTGTTTCGACACGACAGAGGCGCGTAGAGTTAATTGTTTCCAACATTACACAACCATATATCTAACTGAACGTGATGAACACGTTTCTACAAAATAATCATAAAGTGAACCCAATTAATCTCTCCACAAATGCTAACATGATGATTGTGAATTTAAAATATCGCGGGTGAATAATACTCATGCGCTACAACGCATACTAACAAACCTAGCTAGTGCAGTACATCGACGGGATTTAATAATACCGTAACGGTACAGTTTTAAACATCTTGTGAAGGGGCACACAACACAACCCAAGCTGCCTGCTACAATTGGGTTGTTGGAGATTCTCCCTTGTGGCAGGACTCCACATTTGACTGCAGTAAGTGTTGACTGCAGTCTGGCTTCCTTCCCAGGCAGGGCCCTCGCTATCAGACATTTTTGTCTGTTTTTCTGAGAAATCAGACAGATTTTTTTTCACTCATCTGATCTTCAAGAAATGGGTGCATTATGCCGTCTGATGGGTCAGAAATGGTTTTTAGTTTCCATCTGTTCTATCAGACACGTGTTTTCTGTTTCGTCTGAAATCGAAACATAGCATATCGCGATTTCCAGCGGTGGGAAGGGAATCTCTCCTGTGACAGTGCATGGATCACTGCTGTGACAGGTTGACTCGTTGCAATCTTTATACGCAGTGCGAACCCCTCTTGTGATAGGGCGAATGTGGTGAAAAGGGGCGAATGTGGTGTGACGGGGCGAATGTGGTGTGACGGGGCGAATGTAGTATGACAGGGTGAGTGTTGTGTGCCCTTAGAATGGATGTGACAGGCGAGAGAGAAGTTCGACTCAATTTTTTTCCCACGTGCATCTGCACACTCGTAACTCTGTATTGATTGGTCAGACAAGGTTTTCGAAAATTTCTGATTCGTCAGACACTCAAAAGCAAAAATTCTGATGCATCAGACGGGCCCTTCGGGCCCGTCTGATGCATCAGGGGGGTTCAAAACCTAGCGAGGACCCTGTTCCCAGGAGAAGCGTGGGAGTGAGATGGTGGTGGGAGTGAGATGGCGTTGAGAGTGAGATGGTGGGGGAAGAATGGGGTGGATTGACTTCTCCGCACAGCTGGCTGGACTGATGCATCCGATCAAGTTATGGTCCAAAGCGACCCTCTATTTCCAGGACCCCCCCCCCCCCCCCCTCCACCCCTCCTCCACCCCCACCAGAGGCTCAAGATCCAGACGGCATGATCCAGAGTGCCACCTGTTACACCTACCTGCCACCTTGAGCTTCGTTTCTTGCATGGCAGGGATGGCCGTAAGTGAGAGGGCGGTGGGAGGGAGCAAGAGGGTGGCTGTCGCCAGGACGCCGTCGCGTTTGACCGTAGCGAGTCTAGGTTCCAGCCTGGTTGACTGGACCTCTTGCTGCCCCTTCAGACTCTTCTGCATGGCAGAGGTGGTGGTGGGAGTGAGGAGGTGGTGGGAGTGAGGAGGTGGTGGGAGTGAGGAGGTGGTGGGAGTGAGGAGGTGGTGGGAGTGAGGAGGTGGTGGGAGTGAGGAGGTGGTGAGAGTGAGGAGGAGGTGGGAGTGAGGAGGTGGTGGGAGTGAGGAGGGTGAGAGTGAGAGGTGGTGGGAGTGAGGAGGTGGTGGGAGTGAGGAGGTGGTGGGAGTGAGGAGGTGGTGGGAGTGAGGAGGTGGTGGGAGTGAGGAGGTGGTGGGAGTGAGGAGGTGGTGGGAGTGAGGAGGTGGTGGGAGTGAGGAGGTGGTGGGAGTGAGGAGGTGGTGGGAGTGAGGAGGTGGTGGGAGTGAGGAGGTGGTGGGAGTGAGGAGGTGGTGGGAGTGAGGAGGTGGTGGGAGTGAGGAGGTGGTGGGAGTGAGGAGGTGGTGGGAGTGAGGAGGTGGTGGGAGTGAGGAGGTGGTGGGAGTGAGGAGGTGGTGGGAGTGCGGAGGTGGTGGGAGTGAGGAGGTGGTGGGAGTGAGGAGGTGGTGGGAGTGAGGAGGTGGTGGGAGTGAGGAGGTGGTGGGAGTGAGGAGGTGGTGGGAGTGAGGAGGTGGTGGGAGTGAGGAGGTGGTGGGAGTGAGATGGTGGTGGGAGTGAGATGGTGGTGGGAGTGAGATGGTGGTGGGAGTGAGATGGTGGTGGGAGTGAGGTGTTCACTTCATCTACATCCACCTCGCCCAGGCTGGGTGGGGATGTGCTGCCCCTATCTGTTCCCATCATTCCCCCATCCATTCGCCTGAATTGCTAAGAACCGTGTGTGCGCACCTTCGGCTGGTCCCACTAAAACCACTCTGAGCCTCAATAATGTTGGAGATGCCCATCACTCATGCCCATCACTCATGCCCATCACTCATGCCCATCACTCATGCCCATCACTCATGCCCATCACTCATGCCCATCACTCATGCCCATCACTCATGCCCCATCACACTCATCACCCTTCACCCATGCACCCTTCCCCACCCTTCCCCACCGCGTGTTACCCGTACCACATCCCATCTCAACCTCTCGTCACCTTCCCCACCTTACCTTGGCCAGTGAGCGTTCTTCAGCAGCCAGGCAGCCTGTGCGCCCCATTGTCGTCCAGAGGGGATGCCCACGGCACGCCACTCACCCGCCACTCACCCGCCACTCACCCGCCACTCACCCGCCACTCACCCGCCACTCACCCGCCACTCACCCGCCACTCACCCGCTACTCACCCGGCAGCGCGGGCGGTTCAAAGACTGGCACGATGAATGAGACATGGCAATCGCTGTCCATCATCTTCTGGCTCATAATGGGGAAAGTGCAGTGCAAGCAAGAGGGTATGCATGAAGCGACTTGACCTTCGTCATAGCAACTGCTTACTCCCTACTTGCATTTTCTCCGGATTCAACCCCACTCACACCACCTCCCGCTTCCGCCTGGTCTCGCCTTCCTTCCACCACCACAGTCAGCACCGCTCATTCCCCACTACACATTTACCGCATGAATGAATCACCATCTATAACACACACACTTCTTGCATTCCCCTCCCACCCTTACCTCCATTTTGCCAGGTCACTCGCGTGGAGTCACCTTGACCAACCCTTCACTAACCTGCACTCACCTTGGCAAGGCAACATTTGGAAAGAAACCATTTCCCACCTCAGCCTGCACTCACAACAGCCAGGAACCTCATTCCTCACCTCACCAGCCGAACCACCATGAACACTCCCATTTGCCCCCCCATTCACCTCAGCCATGCCCCCCCATTCACGTCTTCCTTTTCCCCTGTCTTTTCTGAGCCGACTCAGAAACCATGCCCCGTAAGGTTTCCGCCAGAATCACCTTGAGGGGGTCCTTTTGGAACGCCCTGACTTGGAATCGCAGCAGCTCTGCCAGCAGCGCGTTGAGCTCCTGTGTGACCACCTGGTGGGTGTACCTGGGGGAGGTGGGGTGGGGGGGGAGGAGGAAGGGGGTATGGACCAGCAGTGTGGCTAGCAGTGTGTTTAGCTCGGGAGTGACCTGACCACCTGGTGCGTGTACCTGGGAGGGTGAAGAGACAGACAGCAGAGGAAGGTGAGAGGGAGGAGAGGGGAGGTAGGGGGGAGAAAAGAGGAGGAAGGAGGTATGAACCAGCCAGCAGTGCGTTGGGCTCGGGTGTGACCACCTGCTGGACGTACCTGGGCGGTTGAGTGAGAAGAGGGTTTCGGGGGCAGGGAGCGAAGGACAGAAAGGAGAGGTGGGCGGGACGAGGGCGGTGCTGGGTTGGAGGAAAGGCGTATGAACTAGCAGTGCAGTCACCAATACGTTCAGCACCGGTGTGAGGGAGGGCATGTGTGCGAGAGAGGATAACAACAAGGGGTGTGAGGCAGGCAAAGCTCGAGGCAAGGCTAAGATGTGAACATGCGACCGCCAATGCGTATGCCGCACATCGCCATAGCTCTTGAGTCGACTCAAAAGGCACATCGCCATAGCTCGATGGTGCTGTTGAATGGCGAGTGATCGACTCACCGCCTCACCTGCTGCATGCCTCCACCTCTGCCATTTCACCGCGCTGCCTTTTTGCCCTATCTTCTTTTCCCTCCAATCACCTCCCGTTCCTTATCCTCCCCTCCCTTCTCCTCCCCTGCTTGCCCCTTCTCCCCTCCAATACCTCCTCCCTTTCTCCTCTCTCGCCTTCGCCTACCCACTCGTTCTCCATCCACGTGCCTCTCCTCCACTCTCCCCTCCACTCCCTGCCCCTTCTCCCGCCTGTTTCCACCCCTCCGCCTGTCCACTGCTTCCCTTGCTCCCACCCCTCACCTCGTTTCCGTCAAACCCAAGCCACGGGCTCCCGCATCCTCACTTACTTCCCCCTCCCCTCTCTGTGCCTCCCCTCGCCGCTCCGCCTCCCCTACTGCACCTACTGCACCTACTGCACCCCCCGTGTTTCGCCTCTCCTACTGCATGCCTCGCCTGCTGCATGCCTCGCCTGCTGCATGCCTCATCTGCTGCATGCCTCATCTGCTGCATGCCTCATCTGCTGCATGCCTCATCTGCTGCATGCCTCATCTGCTGCATGCCTCACCTGCTGCATGCCTCACCTGCTGCATGCCTCACCTGCTGCATGCCTCACCTGCTGCATGCCTCCGCGCCTACATGTGTCTGAGGTCGCCTGTATTCTGCAGGGTGTTCTTGAGGATTCTGAAACCTCCTCGCCTTACCTGCTGCATGCATGCATGCCCATGCCACATTCGTCTCCTCCACCTCCCCGTCCTTCTCCTCCAACCGCTCTTCCTTCTTTCCCTCCTCTTCCTTCTCCTCACCCACTGCACTCTTCCACCTTGCCCTCCTCATCACCTTTGCTCCTCTCAGCCCTCGTCATTTCTTCCTCTTTCCATTGCTGCTCCATCTCTTCTCCCATCTCTCTTCCCTTCTCGCCTTTCTTTCTCCACCCTTGTCCTCGCCTAACCACTGGTTTCCATCCACCTCCCTATCACCCACTGTCCTGTCCACGCTCTTCCCCCACTCTTGCACCTCTTCTCCCACTCCTGCACCTCTTCCCCCACTCCTGCACCTCTTCCCTGCATGCTTCCTACTCTACCCCCGCCCGCCCCTCCTCCCCCCTGCCCTCCATCCCACCTTCCCTGCGGTTGGGAATGGGTGGATAGGGGTGCTGCGTGCAGTGGCGGCATCTGATGGGATGCGTGGTGATGTGTTGGGATAGGGGCAGCGTCAAGGCCACCTGAGGAGACTGCAAAGGGTTGGGATGGGATGGGTGGTTGGGATGGGATGGGCGGTTGGGAATGGGTGGATAGGGGTGCTGTATGCAGTGGCGACATCTGATAGGATGGGTGGTGATGTGTTGGGATAGGGGCAGCGTCAAGGCCACCTGGGGAGACGACAGAGGAGTGGGTGGGGTGGGTGGTCGTGGTGAGGCTGGTTGGATAGGGATACGTGGAACTTTGAATGCTGCATGCAGCAGCTTCTGATAGGGTGGATGTGAGGGCTATCTCAAGACCACCTGGGGATTGGGCGGAAGAGGGGTGGGGAGGGTGGATGGGGGTGGTTTAAACATTGAGTGGTGCGTACGCACACAGCCCACCTCAAGACCATCCAACAGAAGCGATAAACGATGATGCGAAATCACAGGAATGTTTTGCATAATAATCACCCCCCCAATCTCCTCGCCCACTCCATTCTCCTCACCCTTCCCCCCATTCTCCCCATCGTTGCACACCATTCACTGTCAGCACTCCCTCCCGCCCCCTCACCTGCCCCAGGCACCCCTTCCACTTGGTGGTAAGCAGCACGCCCATTGGAGAAGCGCGCTGAGCTCGGGGGTGAGCACCTGGCGAGCACCTGGCGAGCACCTGGTGAACGAGGAGTTTGAGGTGGGGAGAGAAAAGACGTGAGGAGGAGGGGTGCGGAAATTTGACGTGCCGGAGGACATTGATGCGGGGGAGGAGATGGGTGTGAGGGAGGAGATGGGTGTGAGGGAGGAGATGGGTGTGAGGGAGGAGATGGGTGTGAGGGAGGAGATGGGTGTGAGGGAGGAGATGGGTGTGAGGGAGGAGATGGGTGCAGTGCAGCGAGGGGTGTGGATGCAATCACCAAGGCAAGGTGTCAGGTGCGCGTCACAACCATAACTCAGTGGCGTTGAATGGCAAATAACCGACTCAGCGCCTCACCTGCTGCTTGCCTAACCTGCTGCTTGCCTAACTTGCTGCTTGCCTAACCTGCTGCTTGCCTCACCTGCTGCTTGCCTAACCTGCTGCTTGCCTAACCTGCTGCTTGCATAACCTGCTGCTTGCCTAACCTGCTGCTTGCCTAACCTGCTGCTTTCCTAACCTGCTGCTTGCCTAACCTGCTGCTTGCCTAACCTGCTGCTTGCCTAACCTGCTGCTTGCCTCACCTGCTGCTTGCCTCACCTGCTGCTTGCCTAACCTGCTGCTTGCCTAACCTGCTGCTTGCCTAACCTGCTGCTTGCCTAACCTGCTGCTTGCCTAACCTGCTGCTTGCCTAACCTGCTGCTTGCCTCACCTGCTGCTTGCCTCACCTGCTGCTTGCCTAACCTGCTGCAAGAGGTCGTATGAGTTTCCTTTTTCGCCTCGCTGCCTTCTTTCCCTCTCTTCTCTTCCCCTCCCTTCTCCTCCCCTGCTTACCCCTTCTCCCCTCCAATCTCTCTGTCCTTTCTCCTCTCGCGCCTTCGCCTACCCACTCGCAGCCCCCATCGCGGCTCTCTACAGGCGCTCCTCCGCGGCCCCCTCTTGCGCCCCTCCTCTGGTCCCTGGTGGCGCGCTTTCCCCCTTTCCCTCTCTCCCGCCCTTCCTCACCCCTCCGCCTGCCCCTTCCCCCATCCTCCGCACTCCTGCTCCGCTCCCTGTCGCCTCGTTTCCGCCAAACCCAAACCCCACGCGCCCGCATTCCCCCTTCCCCCTCCCCTACCTACGCCTCCCCTCCCCGCTCCGCCTCCCCTTCCCAGTGAGTGAGGCCGGCCGCCACTGCTAACCACATCTGCGTCCCCCCTCCCACAAGGGCGGAAGCCAATTTGCGTGGACTCTCGCGGAGGCGGGGGTAGAGGCGCGCACGCAGCGAGGATCGCGGCGGCCAATGCCACCGCCGCGTCGGCCTTTGCTGCTCGCAGCGACGCTGCTACTTCCGCTGCTGCCGCCGCCGGGAGACCCGCCTTCGTTTTCGTCGTCTACTGTTGCTCTTTCGTCGTCTACCGCCACTCGTCGTTCGTCGTCTATTATCGCCTGTCGCTCTCTCGTCGTCTACCGCCACTCGTCGTTCGTCGTCTACCGTCGGTCGTCGCTCTCTCGTCGTCTACCGTCGCTCGTCAGCTGTTCCGTTTTTGTCGTCCACAGTTCCTTTTTCGCCGTCTCCCTGTCCGCCGCTTTTACACGGCCGCTATCGAGCCACTAACGCAGGTGCTGTGTATTCCTTCGAAAATTTTGATTCAATGAAAAAACTGTTATGAGTGCGAGGCTTTTGCAAACTAGAAACCTACAGAACTGAATGTCCCACGGCTGTTTAAAACGGGGACCAAAGTAGGCATAGCCGAGCTAGGCGTGGACCTAGGGAGCGAGGCTCGGAACAAGGCGAAAGGTCCGTAAGCGAGTCGAAAGTGGTTCGGGGCGAATAATAGGCCGAACCAGTTGAAGCGAACTCTTCTGAACATACAAACCAGAGTGATCTACAGCAGAAACTTTTAATTCCTTAAGAAAACTTAACGTAATCAAACGAGTTCTACGTACTATTTTAAATCCCCCCAATCAATCTCTCCGCAAATTCTACGAGATACTTGCCAAGTTCAACCATCGCTGGAAACCATTAACGCACTACAACGCATGCAAACTACTTAGCTAGTGCGTCTCAATTACGTATCTCAAGCATATAACTTCATTCGAACAATTTCTAGACAGAGGTAGCCTTCCTGGCTCTTGGACCTCTTGCTGCTTGCATGCATGGCAGATATGGTGGTGGGAGTGAGATGATAGTGGGAGTGAGATGATAGTCGGGGTGAGATGATAGTGGGAATGAGAAGATAGTCGGGGTGAGATGATAATGGGAATGAGTCAGGGCTGATTTTATCAGACTATTTTAGTTGATTGTCTGAAATCTCAGACTCTTTTTTTCGCCTTTCCTGAAATTTCAGTATTCCTGTATTTTGAACTCTGAAGGCCTCAGACCTGTTAGTTTTTGAACTCTGAAGGCCTCAGAGTACTTCATTGTGCGATATTGAGACTCGAGACTACATGGAGTATGGCCCCTGAAATTGCCGAATTTCAGTCCTCCCCCCTCCCCCTCTCTCGAATTACATTCAATTCCCCCCCTGCCCCCCTCCCCCCTCCCCCTTCCCCCGCCCCCTCTTACTCCTGCTTCTCGCCAACTCCGCAACGTTTTCCCTAGGCCAAACTCGCTTGACAGATACTCGCTATTAACCAACTCGGATGCGGTTTTACAAACTTAAAACTTTTCAGACTAATGATTTTTTTCAAACCTGACACTTCAGAGTACTCAGAACTTGGGAAATGACCCTCAGACTAAACGATTTTTTTTTCTCCCCTGCTTCAGAGTGGTTTTTTTTTTTAACGCCAGCCCTGGAATGAGATGATAGTTGGTGGGAATGAGATGATAGTGGGAGTGAGGTGGTGGTGGGAGTGAGATGATAGTGGGAGTGAGATGGTGGTGGGAGTGAGATGATGGTGGGAGTGCGATGGTGGTGGGAGTGAGACGGTGGTGGGAGTGAGACGGTGGTGGGAGTGAGATGGCGGTGGGAGTGAGGTGGTGGTGGGAGTGAGATGATAGTGGGAGTGAGGTGGTGGTGGGAGTGAGATGGTGGTGGGAGCGAGATGGTGGTGATAGCAGGCCCTCAGATTTGTTGTAAGACCTCAAGGCAAACCTTGTGGCCCTCAAGTCAGGCCCCATAGCAGGCCAGACCAGGCCAGACCAGGCCAGACCAGGCCAGACCAGGCCATACCAGGCCAGACCAGGCCAGACCAGGCCATACCAGGCCAGACCAGGCCAGACCAGGCCAGACCAGGCCATACCAGGCCATACCAGGCCATACCAGGCCATACCAGGCCATACCAGGCGAAACCAGGACACAGCAGGCCAGGGCGGGGCATGCCTGACCAGGCCACAACAGATCGGACGAGATAAGTGCAGGCTCAAACAATGCAAAACCATGCAAGACAAGACGTAAACCCTGATGTTGGAATGCCCATGGCGTCCATCCATGCATTGGAAGAGATGGACGTGATTCAAGTGGCATGCGAGTGGAATGCAGGCAGCGAAGGCATGCATGGGAGGGGAGGGGAGAATATCTCAGAGTGTGCTGCAGTGATGCTCCTCTCAGCAGGCCGCCCTCCTCTCCTCTCCACCGAGGTCGCTGTGTGTCTCCAGCGCTCACCACAATGTAGTTATGAATTCGGTATAACAAGATCAGACAAAGGCTATTGCAGCTGCACCTTGTCACTGCATGGAGTTGTGACACCAGGCTATTGCAGCTGCACCTTGTCACTGCACCCCCACCACTCTACCCACTTCATGCCCTCCCCCCCCCCCTCCCCCCCCTCCTCCAACCTCCCTCTGCTTGGTACAGCAGCTGCTATTGTGTGGCATGCTCGTAGTGTTCCAGCGACCTTGAGGGGATTCTGCTGAGTGAAGAACATGCACGGGTGAAGGGCAGGAATGAGTGAATGGCAGGCATGGGTAGGTTCAGAGACGCAAGGGCGGTGCATTGAGGGAAGCAAGTTTGATTCCAAAATGGCAGTGGAGTGGGATGCACACTGTAGCATGATGTATGGGATGAGATGAGGTATGGGATCAAATGCGCCTTAGTGGGATGGAACGGATGTCTAAGTAGTATCTTCCCCAATTAGTCGCACAACATGGCTTCTCTTATATGCTTTCTAAATGAAGCAATCCCATCATAATCTGAATGCCTTTAGGAGAAAGAGGGGGATGGAAGTGGAAACAAATGGAAAAGAAGAGGGGGAATGATTGAGATGCAAGGAGCAAAGTGCTCTGCTTGTTCTTTTTTCGGAATTCGACGCTTGCCTACAAAGGAGGGATTCACAAAGTAACAAAATGCAAGTCCTACAAGCAAGTGTGACGGGGTTAATGCAAAAGAGATTGCAAATAGTAGCAATTGCCAACCACTTTTATACATGCTGATTCAAGGATTCATTCTAAGCGCTGAGGAGAAAGCAGTCCTTCCTTAGATGGCATGTGCTGTCAAGGCATGTGCTGTCAAGTCATGTGCTGTCAAGGCAAGCGTGATGTTCTAAAATGGACTACTTGGTTAACTCTTACATATGCTTAACGCAAATGTTAGAATGCTTCGAGGTAAAAGTGGTGTTGAAAGAGCACGAGGGGGTTCACGTGCATGCCTCCCTGCAGTGTAGGAATGCCTGTAGAATCAGTTGAATCAATTCAGCTCGCACAGCAGCAATATCCTTGATCACAATTTTCCTCCATTCGCCAAAGCTTTTGAGTCCTTTGACGCTCCGTACCTATGACCCCCCACCATCTCTATTCCATGCTTTCAAAGCTTAGCAAGCACAGTAAACAGTCGTCAAGTCGTGCACGGCGGTGTCACGTCAGGCCTGCACGACTAGACGACCGTTGCGAACTAGATTGCACTTTTGAGGGAATCTGTTGCAAAGTAGTTATTCGACTGCAAAGGAATTGCCAAGAGCATAAAGCGATGACTGCAGTGTGATTGCTTGCTATGGCGCTGCTGCTTGTCTGTGTTGGGGGTGCGCTAGTTTGTGCACAAGGTGAACTTTAAGAAAGGAGGTGGATGGCATGATGGGAGCCGGTATCGATGCGTTTATACGATTAGATAATTGACAACAGGAAGGAAGGCGGAGAAGATAGGGGAGAGATGAGCGAAGGCGCTGGATAACCTGATCGGGGTGGCGGGAGAATTGGTTGGATGTTGGGTATGACAACTGGTGACAGATATTGCCACTACATCCTGCGACACTTCTCTTCTCTTACCTCTATCGCCGTGCAGCGCCGCCATGCCACCAGCTGAGAGGCCGGCATCGAATAGCGAGGCCTTGATATCGCAAAGACATCGACCCTGGTACGTGGTTCCCCTCGTGTATCTTGCCACCTTCACAAGCCATGTGTGGTTGAATGCCGACCCTGGCGACATTCTTGAGCCAGTGTGAATGCCGACAAAAGGACACCGTACGTAATCTGAGTAGGGGATGTGCCTGACGAATAGGCGTGTGCCTGACAAATAGGGGTGTGCCTGACGAATAGGGATGTGCCTGACGAATAGGGATGTGCCTGACGAATAGGTGTGTGCCTGACGAATAGGGATGTGCCTGACGAATAGGGGTGTGCCTAACCTCACCTGTGAGGCCGACCTGGAGTGTGTGCCCATGCTATGCCTCACTTGACCTGTATGTTTCACCTCGAGTGAGTATCTGACTGACTTGGGTGCGTGCCTAACACAGAATGGAGTGTGCCTGACCTAGAGTGAATCCTTCGAACCAGTCACCTCGCCGCTGTCTCGAGGTGTGGTTGAGCCGGCCCGGCATGTGAGACTGGTCTGTGCTCGCACCTTTTCATGCTTCACACGCTTCCAAGCCCCGCATCCACCCACTCGTCACTGCTGACTGGCCCCTCGCCACCACGACTGCCGCTGCTGCTGCAACCTGTGGCCAGCGAAGAGAAGGTGATGTTGTTGGTGAGGGAAGGTTAAGGGAGCGGGAGTGAGTGTGGGAGAAGAGAAGGTGGTAGGGGCGTAGTGCTGAGCGAGGAGGGGAAAAGCTTTTGGTAAATCAGTGTAGACGTTCATCCTTCCATAAGCAAACTGGGCGTGGATCAGCTAACAGCCACTCATACAAGCTCTCAAACACGGCTTTTTCTGCCTCCCTCGTTGCCTGCGAGTCCCCGTTTGCATGATCGTACTCAGCCCAGTGCCTTTTGCCCTCCTCACTCTCATCCTTGGCCGTCCAGAACTTCCACCCCCATGCTCTCCAGCCAGCTCCTACAACAACAATACCTGGTGCAAGAGGGAAGCGACACCCAGGAAGATTTGGTCTTTACTTGAGTGGCATGCTGGAGGCATGCATGCGACAAAGACTCGCATTTCAGGTGAAATTATCTCTAAGCAAGCGTGCTGCAATGGTGCAAGAAGCAGAATGGCTTTTGACATTTGAGGCGCCTCAAAGCCTCCTCTCCTCTGGGATCCGCTGTGTGTCGCCAATGCTTGCCACGATCTGTTTATCGATTCAGTATGAAACAAGGTTTTTACTCCGGAATGTGAGCGAGTTTCAACTGCATTAGAAAGGGGCGACTGCAACTGATCCAGTCAGTGCATCCCACACAATCAGATTGCCTCTCTCTGTACCCAATGTCGTCCAAAATGGCCACGGCAGTCACCCGACACAATAGGGTGGGAAGGGGTTGGGCGGGATGGGTGGATAGGGGTGGCTTGAATGTTATGCGTGCGGTGGCATCTGATAAAATGGATGCAAGGAGACAGCTGTGGAGGGGAAAGTGGGGGGGTGGGTGGGAGAGGGGAGTGAAGGAAGAGAGGGAGCGTTTGGAATGTTGACGTGTCCAGGAATAACATCAAGACAGCCTGGGGCATCTGCTCTGTGCAGAATCATCTCAATAGGATGGACGAGCGAGTTGCATCAAGACAGCGTGGGGGACAGGGCGGAGGGGGGTGTGGGGTGGGGGAATAGGCATGATTTAAACGTTGACAGCTGCATATTGGAGAGGGAGACCATGTTCTGTGAATTCTAAAACATGTATCACTTCATCACCCCTGTACACTCCTCTCCTCTCTCCTCTCCCCTCTCCCCCCTACCCATCCACTTTTACCCCCGAAACACTGATCTACTCCAGGCACCTCCCCCAGATTGAGAGCCACCACGACACACTTGGCCTCCTTTTGAGTCGACTCAAAAGCACCACGACACACTTGGCCTCCTTTTGAGTCGACTCAAAAGCACCACGACACACTTGGCCTCCTTTTGAGTCGACTCAAAAGCACCACGACACACTTGGCCTCCTTTTGAGTCGACTCAACAGCACCACGACACACTTGGCCTCCTTTTGAGTCGACTCAACAGCACCACGACACACTTGGCCTCCTTTTGAGTCGACTCAAAAGCACCACGACACACTTGGCCTCCTTTTGAGTCGACTCAAAAGCACCACGACACACTTGGCCTCCTTTTGAGTCGACTCAAAAGCACCACGACACACTTGGCCTCCTTTTGAGTCGACTCAAAAGCACCACGACACACTTGGCCTCCCAGCAGCATCCATGCCCCATTCTTCGTCGCGACCTCTCCTCTCCCCCTCACCTGGGGTGGGCGTACCTAAGGTGAGGGGGGAGGGAGTGGAGGGGGGTGCTGGACCAGCAGTGTGAGTGAACCAATTCATTCACTTCCGGTTTCACCGCCTTCTGGGCGTACTTGGGTGGTGGAGGTGGGTACAAGGAGGGGCCATAGGGGGATGGAGGAAGGAAAGAGGGAAGAGAGGGCCGGCCAACGGTCAGTGAGTTCACACCAGGGGAGCGGACCAAAACGCGCTCAGCTCGGGAATTTCCACTTGATGGGCGTACCTGGGGTGGAGGAGGTAGAGGCAAAGGGGGTGGTGCCTAGGAGGAAGGAGAGGACGAGGGTGTGGGAGAGGAAGTGGGTGCAGCGAGGGGTGCGGGGCAAAAGAAGGTGCAGCCTCCAGGGAAGGCTCTTGGGACGCTTCAGAAAAAAAGGAGGCCGCCAAAGCTGAGGAGCAGGTGAAATCTCGAGGCAGGGCTGTGAGGAACAATAGATGGCCACTGCTCAAGGCGCAAGGCGCATGGCGCACTGCTCCTCGCCTCACCTGCTACATGCCTCACCTGCTGCATGCCTCCACACCAATGTAAGTGGTCGGCTGAGTTTTGACTTTTCTCCGCGCGCGCTGCCTTCTTGCCCTCTCTTCTCTTCCCCTCCCTTCACCTCTCCTACCTTCACCGCCAATTCCTTCTCCTCCCCTGCTTGCCCCTTCTCCCCTCCAGTCTCTCCTTCCTTTCTCCCCTCTCGCCTTCGCGTACGCACCCCTTGTCCCTCCTCCCGCCTGTCCCCACTTCTTTACCTGCCCCTTCTCCCCACCTCTGCCCTCCTGCTCCGCCCCCTGCTCCCCCTTCTCCCACCCCTCGCCTCGCATCCCCGCTTCCCCTTCCCCTCCCTGCGCCTCCCCTCCCTGCTCCGCCACCCCTTTCCCCTCCATGTGGCCGCCCGTCGCCACTGCCCCCATCTGCGCAAACCGTCCCACTAGCACGCAATGGCGCGGACTCTCGCGGAGGTGGCAGTAGAGGCGCGCGCACAACGCGGGTGATGGCGGTGGCGGTGGCAGCGCCAGCGGCAGCGGCGACCGGGGCAAGCTTTCACGGCCTCGTCGCGTCGCCGCCGCCGCCGCCGCTTCAGCCTGTGTTGCTCGCAACGATGCTGCTATTTCTGCCGCTCCTACTGCCTCTGCTATTGCCGCCACTGGGAGCCCGGGTGCTTGCCCCATCCGACATTGCTGTTGCTCCTCGTACTTCTGCCGTCGCGGCTTTCTGCCATCGCGAATGGGTTCTCCTTTCTTTCTCTCTCTCGTCGTATATGGTCGCTTTTCCGTTGTCAACAGTCCTAATTCAATGCCGTCCGTCGCTCTCTAATCGCCTGTCTGTCGTTTAATGCGATGGTTATTGAGCCACTACTGACAGGTCACTGTTGCCCTTCTAGCTCTTGCTCGCAATCGCCTGCGCGCGCGCTCAGCAGCACATATGTCCCGTAAACAGTACACTCAGGCGGGGGGGTCTTATGGGCCAGAAATCAATGCACACCCCAGCAGTCATGGGTTCCCCATGAAGAGAGCATTCAACTGGCGGACCTGTGAATGACCTGAGACTGACCTAAGACTGAGCTGAGACTGACCTGAAAATGACCTGAGACTGACTTGAGACTGACCTGAGAATGACCTGAGACTGACCTGAGACTGACCTGAGACTGACCTGATAAACGTTAGAATGACATCAAGTGACCTGAGAATGACCAATGACTGACCAGCGACTGACCAGTGACTGACCAGTGAGTGATAAGAAAAGAAGGGGAATGGAACGGGGAGGGGTGGGATAATGGAAACGGGAAGGAGGTAAGGGGAAGAGGGCAAAGGGAGAAGAAAGTAAAGGGAGTGGAGGGTTATGAGGACGGGAGTGGGTAAGAAGAAGGGGAAGCGGGGTACGCGTAGTGGGAGATGGTAAAGGGACGGGAAGAGATACAATAAAGGGAAGGCGAGTGAAGGGGAATGGGGTAATGGAAGAGGGATGGTCAAAGCGACGGGAAAGTGAAGGGGGGGGGGTTAAGGGTATGGGAGGGGAGGGGAGGGGGGTCAGTGAACGGGGGAGGGTAGTAAGGGTAAAGGAGGGGGTAAATTAAGGGTAAAAAACGGTGGCCTTGTAAGCATTGTACATGTGCGAGTGGATGCCAGTGGGTGCGAATGAGTGTGCGAAGCAAACCGGAGCAAAAAACAGAGCAGGTTAGGAGGGGCAATAAACGAGGGGAACGGCGAAATGAAAGGGAGGGTGGCCTTGAGAGACTCTCACGAACCCCCTGAAACCACAGCAAGCCCTCAGAGTCTCTCTCACACGTGTCTCACCGTGGAGAAAATCCATTTGTCTGATTATACCCCCCTTCTTCTCCCCCCCCATCTGTCATGCTCGTTCCTCAGCAGCAAGGATAAAAAACACGGCTATTGTATTATACGGGCCGTTTTTTTTTATGGTACGGTGTGTTTGGCAAACTTTCGGCCGTTTTTTTGTTGGCCATTTCTTGTCACGGGATTTTTTCCAGAATCTACTAAAATTGCTACAACAATGACTAGGAAGGCAATAACAACCTACTCTAAGGAGAAATAGGCCTGCAAAGGTCTACTGCTAATGTCGCTACCCTTACTATGCATGCATGCATGCCTACCTAGGCAAGTCCCTGCCTAGGGCCTCTCCCTTCCTCCCTAATCCATCCCCACTATACTCAACCTCCCTTATATTCTTCCTACTCCAGCACCTGGTCCTTCTCTTCCTCCTCCCCACTCAAACCGTCGCTGCAACCCTGGCATGTGGAGGTCCCTTCACTACTCTCAACTCATACTCTTCTTCGTCCTTGTCCTCCTCTTCCTCCTCCCCACTTGAACCGTCGCTGCAATCCCAGGCATATGCATATCGTCCCTTGGGATTCTGGGCAGGCTCTTCCTCCTCCCCACCGCTGTCTTCCGCCTCCTCTTCCTCTTCCGCATCCCGTGCTTTTCCTTTCCCCTCTCCACTGCATGCACCGTTGCCCTTCCCCTTCTTCCTCCCTTTAGATGACTCACCCGCCTTCCCTTTCCTCTTCTTGCCGATGCTTCCAAATTCCGACAGATCAATGGTGTATTCCTCCTCCTCCACTTGTCCCTCCTCTTCAGCATCCCCTTCCTCCTCCTCCACTTCGGCCGGGTTGATGGCAGCCTCTCTGAGGGTGCCGTTGCCCAGGTCCGAATAGAGCTTGGAACTCAGCGCTGCCTTTCGATCATAGGCATCACAGGCCCGCCGGGTGAAGGCGACGAAGGTGACGTCAGTCATCTTCTGCACCGTGAGGCGGTTCCGGTCGCGCCTCTGCACACGTGCCAGCGCCGACCAATAGCGCTCCACCTCGGAGGAGGTGACTGGCTGTGAGAGTGACGTCACAGCCAAGCCTTGGGGCGCCTGCACATCCCCACCAAACAGGAACCACCATTCCGCATCCATCATGCGCCCCGCCTCCACCAAGGTCGTTGCTGCCCAACGGGCATCGTGAGAGCCCAGCCTGCCCTCCCCTCGGTGAAACTGAGCCACCTGTGCAGCTAGGGTTACGCGCTGCTGCACATCCCCTCCCCGGGCTTGGATTACCTCATCCATCCCCTTCCTAATCTCGGGATCGTTCCTTACCTCCTCGATGTACTGGTTACGGGGGTTGAGAAGCCAACCGATGGCGTGCAGGGGGTTGTGCATTTGAGCGTCCCACCTCCTGGCTATGATCGACTTGATGGCAGTGAGAAAGGTGCTCTTGTCCTTGTGCAACAGCAGACCCGTCCGCTTGATGAAGTGTGCGGCTGCTCACAGTGTATAACGAGAACTAATTAGCCAAAAAGAATGAGAGGATGTATGGGGAGAATGACTTTTTATACCACAGCATAATGCTTTCCGCCGGCCCAATTACCAGCCTCCTCGGCCGCCTTAGTCGTCTTCACTGTGGCCTCAAGCATGAGGCTGTACAGCTGCCCCATGACTTGAGCCCGTGTGTCAACGGCGCAAAGAACCTCGTAGACCGGAGTCATGTGGCGCAGCACGGCCGTCCTACAGTCCCAAAAAACATCATCCAAAAGCAGCTTCCTAACCTCTATCCCCTCCTTCGTCCGTGCCACCACCACACCCTCCCACTCCTCGCTGATTACTATCACTCTTAACGCGCGCTTCACCTCCAAGAACCTGCCGAGCATGATGACCTGGGTGCCGAATCTCGTTGCACCCGGCCGCACCAACGAGAGCTTGGTAAAAAGCTCACGGAACAACACGACGGCTGAAGCGCAGCCTTCGATCATCATCACTACGCTGTGCACCTGCGCAAGGACGCGCTTTATAGCAGGGATTTTGCCGATGTCGTGCAACATGAGATCTAGGCAGTGGGCGGCGCAGTTGGTGAAGAAGATATGCGGATACTCCAGGCGTAGCTTGTTGGCGGCGTTCTTGTTCTTCGAAGCGTTGTCCATCACGACTTGGACGACATGCTTCGGCCCCACCGTCTTGATCGCTCCCTCAATTAGACCCGCCAAGTAGTCCCCGGTTTTTTTCGCGGTCTTCGAATCGACGATGTCGATGATGACGGGTGCAGTGTCATTAAGCGCGATTACACACACCAAACCGCGGGATTCGATGCATGTCCACCCATCGATGGAGAGCGTGCACCCGCTTGTCTTCGAGCTGTCCTTCAGCAGCCGCACAAGGTCCTCCGAGCCCGCCTTCAGCTTCTCGAGCAGCGGGCCGGACACCTTGTACGGGGTGGGGAGGGTGTACGGTTTAGCGTACACGATCACTGCGTCAACGAAGGCCTGGATCAACTTCGACTTGCTGACGTTGAAGGCGAGATCTTTCTCGGCAACTGCAGCAGCCCACAGGTAATCCAGCCGAGTCTGCGCAACTTCATCCGACATTTCACGGATATCTCGCTGCCGAGCGCGACGCGTTGGCGGCTCTCCCCCTGTGGACGTGGAGGCACGGTTTCCTCCCGTGCCACCTGTACCATTTCCCGTGGATGAGCACTCCTGATCGGCTGTCGCCCGCCTCTGCTTAGCGTAGTCCGACTTGCACATTGCAACGTTTTTATCCTTCTTGTTAGTGCCGAGTATTTCCTCGCGGATCCTAGTCACACTAGCCGTCACAGGAAGTTGACAATGGATGCATGTTGCACCAACTACTTTGTCGTCTACATCCGTAATCTTCTTGACATGCTCCCAAAACTCCGAAGCGGGACGCACCATGGCGTCCTAAAACACTATGCTAACCGCGTCAGAGCCTGACCCAGAGCCTGACTCCCTTCGTGCTGCTAGTCCTACTGTCACGCGTCTCCTGGCCACTGTTGTCACTGACCCTTCCTTTGAGTCCACTGCTGCGTCTGCCTTAGTTGCTGAGCTTATCGACTTTGCTGCTCACTGTCGTCTAGACTACGCCGCGAGTCTTGTTGCTGAGTCTGAGTCTGTCTGTCCTCCGTCCGTCGGGGGTGAGTGTGCTCTTGGCACGGACGTCCTTGAGGACAGGCAGGAAGAATTTGAGTGCTTTGAAGCCGCTGTACCTCATCTCGTGTCCATGCTGATTGCACCTGAGGGAGACCCGGATGCACCAGACATCCCGACCCCGCGCTCTTACGCAGAGGCGATAGAGGGTCCCTACTCCTCTCAGTGGCAGTCAGACATGGACGCAGAGATGGCATCCTAGAAGTCCACAGGCACCTACGTCGACGAGGTTCCCCCTCCTGTGGCGAACATCGTCAGTGGCATGTGGATTTTCAGGGTGAAGCGGCCGCCGGGTTCTCCGCCTGTCTTCAAGGCGCGTTACGTTGCTCGGGGCTTCAGTCAGCGACAGGGAGTTGACTTCTTCCAGACCTTCTCCCCGACCCCGAAGATGACCATTCTTCGGGTTCTGCTGCACGTCGCTGCTCAGCGTGACTACGAGCTTCACTCTCTTGACTTCAGCACTGCTTTCCTACACGGCAGCCTACACGAGGAGATCTGGCTGCGCCGCCCACATGGCTTCACTGGGTCGTTTCCTCCTGGTACCCAGTGGAGCCTCCGGTGGCCAGTCTACGGTCTCCGCCAGGCGCCCCGTGAGTGGCACGACACACTGAGGACTACGCTTGTGGCTCTTGGGTTTGCTCCTTCTACTGCTGACCCGTCGCTGTTTCTGCGCACCGACACTTCGCTGCCGCCGTTCTACATCCTCGTGTACGTCAACGACTTGGTCTTTGCTACTGCTGACACTGAGGGACTCACTCACGTGAAGTCGGAGCTGCAGAAGAGACACACGTGCACGGACCTGGGTGAACTGCGCAGCTATCTTGGCTTGCAGATCACCCGGGACAGAGCACGGCGCACCATTACCTTTACTCAGTCACACATGGTGCAGCAGATCCTTCAGCGCTTCAACTTCACGTACTCCTCGCCTCAGGCCACTCCTCTGTCTACTCGCCACTCGCTCTCAGCTCTGCCTTTGGATGAGTCCGTAGAGCCGAGTGGCCCGTACCCAGAGCTTGTTGGCTGCCTCATATACCTGATGACCTGCACTCGACCTGACTTGGCATACCCTCTTAGCATCTTGGCACGCTATGTTGCTCCTGGGAGACACCGACCAGAGCACATGGCTGCAGCTAAGAAGGTGTTGCGCTACCTGTGCAGTACGTGAGGCATGGGGCTCGTGCTTGGAGGACGGGCTCGAGTTGTCCTCACTGGTCACGCAGACGCTTCTTGGGTCGATGACTTGGCTTCGCAGCGGTCGTCACAGGGTTACACCTTCAGCCTTGGTTCTGGATCTATTTCGTGGCGGTCTACCCGCTCGTCCTCTGTTCTCGGCTCCAGTTGTGAGGCTGAGATCTACGCTGGGGCCATGGCTGCGCAGGAGTTACGCTGGCTCACCTACCTGCTGACCGACTTGGGAGAGGCGCCTCGTTCTCCTCCAGTTCTGTACGTCGACAACAAGGCCATGCTGGCCTTGTGTCAGGAGCATAGACTGGAGTACAGAACGAAGCAGATTGCTCTGCGCTACTTCCTTGCTCGAGAGTTGCAGCAACGTGGTCAGCTTCGTCTTGCTTACGTGGTCTCCCGGGCCAACACTGCTGATATCTTTACCAAGGCACTTCAGCCTTGTAATCATCAGCGTTTCTGTACTATGCTAGGTCTTGTGCCTACCGGGCCTCACTTGCTTACCTCTTGACTTTGTTTGTACTGTGATCTATATATACCTGCACCTGCATGCTTACCCTTGCTAGGTTGAGATCACTGTCTTGCTTGTTCACCTTGCTTTATAATCCTGCATGTGAACCAGCCTTGTGGCCTTGAACTGGTGCTCAGAATGTGTGGTGACGTTGTGATCCACCCTGAGCTTGCTTTGCTTCTCTTGACTGGTCTTGTGACCTCTTGTTCTCCCCCACTTTGCCTATGGGGGTGTGTCAAACTTATATGCTACAGTCTGTGTAGGCTGTAGTGGGGTAGTTCTTATGGGGTACAACAATTAGGGTTTCCTATTTGTACTCCTCATGCTGCTGAATGCAATCATTCCTCGTTCTTATTCTCACAGGGAGATGGATGGATTAAGATGCAGGAAGAATGCCCGAGGGGTGGTGTGATCGCGGCGTGCATTATTTACAGCGACGGAACAAACCTGAGCAACGACGGTCGTGTTACGGGACATCCGGTCTATTTCACCCTCGGAAACGTCACGCTCAAGAACCGTTGGCAACCACACGGGCATCGGATGGTTGCTATGCTTCCGCCAATTCCGAATGTGGACTCGCGGACAGACGAGGGGAAGGCGCTTCATCGGGAGGTGTTCCAACTGGCTTTGGATGTGGTTCTCAAAGAACTCAAGGAGGCATCTCACGCGTGAGTATCTATTGAGTGTGTAGGTGGGTGCTTTTTGTTCTATTGGGTGTTGGTGTATGCGTTGCAAGTATGTTTTATCACCACGATGAGACGTTGCATGCTCACCTCACGTGCATAGCCACATCCCCTCCCCTTACTATCATATCTCTCCCATGTTCAACACTCTTCTTTGCCTGCGCTTTGGCATTGTAACGGAAGACCCTTTTGGGAGAACGCAAGTGGTGTTTCCCGCGGTCTACGCATATGTGGCCGATCACCCGGAAGCGTGCAAGCTGGCGGGGACGTTCGCAAGTCACAAAGCGATCTTTCCGTGCCACAGGTGTCATGTAAAACGTGAAGACATAAGCAATATGGAGGCGGTGGCGGAATATCGCACGGAAGAGGACCAGAACGATAAAGTTGAGGCGTTGTTGGCAATACCGAGTGGTCCCGAGCGCACCAAGGTACGCATGGTTTGAGAGTGCGTCTATCTTTATTGCGCAGTGTGTTTTCGTGTGTGTGTATGTGAGCGCGTACATTGCAGTCTCCTTCTTTCTAACACCGTCCCTCTTCGGATCTATGTGCGTGTGTAACTCTAGACTTTGTTCTTTGAGTTATAATTATGGGCGGTAACTAAGTTTCACTCACCCGTCCCTGCGCAGGTAGCCTTGTGGGGTTTTAGAGGCGGACGTACACTCGTCGGCAATCCATGTTGTGCCTTGCTTGTCGAGGTGATGCACGCAATGGACCTTGGGGTCTTCTTGCACATTGTATCCTGCATTCGAGCGTATTACGCACGAGATCGCGAGTTTCTATGTTCGCTCGACATCGAGTTGCAGCGGATTGCCACCGACACTCGAATTTCGGGTTTTTGTATTCCATCTTCCGAGAAGGGCGGTTATTTTGCGGGTGCTGCACGGTTTCAAGCGTTCGAGCATCGTGCGGTGATGCAAGTGATCACGATCGTGCTCGCCAACTGCGGCGTGCCGAACTCGGTTGTTGGTGTGGTAGCGGCATTCGTGGATTGATACATGCTTGCATCTCGGCGTTGGTACCACACCTCCAAGACGCTTCAAGAGCTTGATGAGGTCATCGATATTTGTTGTATGTTGGTATATATTTTGTTTTCATGTTTTCTTCACGTTCCGTCCCCTTGTGTTTAGTGTTTGTATAGCACTCTTTTATTGTCTTTGTGTTGTGATTTGTTTCATTTTTCTTACAACGCGCCATTGTGTTGTGTTTGTTCAATAAACTTCATGCGTGCTACTCCCTCCTACAGGTTGATTCCACTCTTGAAGAGTGTGTTCGCGGGCCTTCAGAAGTCGGAGTTCGACATCACCAAAGTGCACTCCTTGGCACACGTGGTGGAGGACATCATTCGATCGGGTGTGCCGATGCATTATAGCGCCAACATATACAAGTACCTTCATCAACCACTTGTGAAGCGTGCGTACCGTGCAACCAACAAGAGGGATCCAATCCCTCGAATTGTGAAGCACGATGTGCGAATGCACATGCTACGCGTGCTTCAAGCATCGGAGGCACCGAGCGAAGATGGACCAAAGCGGATGGTTGCACTACAGGAGGTATGTGTTTAAGTGCGTGTGTGTGTATGTGTGTGTGTGTGTGTTTGTGTGTGTGTATGTTTTTGTGTGTGCGTGTGTATGTGCGTGTGTGTGTGTGTGTCTGTGTGTGTGTGTGCGTTTGTGTGTATGCATGTGTGTGTGTGTATGTTTGTATGTGTGTGTGTGTATGTGTGTGTGTCTGTGTGCGTGCTTGTGTGCGTGTGTGCTTGCACGTGTGTGCGTGCGTGTGTGTGTGTGTATGGTTGTGTGTGTGTATGTGTGTGCGTGTGTGTATGTGTGCGTGTATGTGTGTGTGTGTTTGTGTGCGTGTGTGTGTGTGTGCTTGCGCGTATATTTGTGTGTGCGTGTTTGTGTCTGTGTGTGTGTGTGTATACGGGGGTGTGTGTGTGTGCGTGTGTGTATGTGTGCGTGTATGTGTGTGTGTGTTTGTGTGCGTGTGTGTGTGTTTGCTTCCGCGTATATTTGTGTATGCGTGTTTGTTTGTGTGTGTGTACGGGGGTGTGTGTGTGTGTGTGCGTGTGTGTGTGTGTACGTGCTTGTGTGTGTGTGTGTGCTTGCACGTATATTTGTGTGTGTGTGTACGGGGGTGTGTATGTGTGTACGTGTGTGTGTATGTGTGTGTGTGTGTGCATGCTTGTGTGTGTGTGCTTGTAT